CGTGATCTGGTTTTCGGAGAACCTCCATGGTCGATGAGCTCTGAAGCACAGGCAGAGGAAATTTATAGCTCAATCCACGAGGAGAGAAACGTGAAACGCCATTGCTTGAGGAACATCTGTAAAATGTGTTTAAAAAGCGAAAACGAAATGATTGAAAATGAAGACGAGAGCCACCATTGACGAAACAAACAGTATTTTTAATAATTAAATTTTAAATTTTGTATCTAATCAGATCTAAAATTTTGGACGAGGTGACACGATAGGAAGTACGGTAAAATTTGAGTCGAACATGCAAAGTGAACCTTTGCATGATGTATTATTCTACGATGCTTAATTAGTACTTAATTTTAGCTAGCCGAGCTTAATAAAGTGTAAAATTGTGTGCCTTTGTCATTCAATGGATCTTCTACCCGTCAATATTGAACTTATTTGTACCTTCGGCACGTTTGGTTTGTTCGTCCCTATCCTTTGACCCATTTTGGGTGAGGCTTAGACATCCAAGACGAGAGGGTCTCCTGCTACACTTTTAGTTTCACTTTGTGTACTTTAAAAATGTTTTGTATTTAATAGTTTCTAGAAAGATCTATTAGAAAAAAATAGCATCCTAAATTTTCAATTTTGTATATGAATCTACCAATTAAAAAAATATTTTATGGGATGGTAGATCTATTAAATGTAAAATTTAAAGTTAAATAACCTATTAGTAATACTTAAAGTTAGTTTATAATATATTAGATATTTTGTAAAGTTCAATGACTTATTGATACAATACTAAAAATTTAGGAATTTATTAACGATTTTTTAAGTTTATTAGACATAAAATTAAAAGTCTAGAGATTTGTTAGACATCTTTTAAATTCTAAGGATATCTTAAATTCATTAAAATAAAAATTAAAAGGTGAGTGACTAGATTTGTATTTAATCTATTTTATTTTATTATCTTTCTCCTTGTGACTTCTTTTTAATATTTATATTGTATTTGTTTATTTACACGTTGTATGAATCAATGTGACACCAAGGCAAATCAAATTATATGACCTTGGTGCTTTTTTTTGTCATATAGTTTTTTCTTTTCTTTTTTAATGTGAAGTACACCCTCTCCAATTTACCATAATGGACCATAAGGTTGATTGGTATGCTGTGATTTAGATGGCAATTATTCACACACCTATTATATATACAATTATTTAACCATAGAGAAAAAGAATTAAATTTTTGTTTTAGTTATATAATATTAATTTGGTCTCAAATCGGGTCCGCGTTGTTTTAAAAGTTTCAATTATATATCATAAATTCTTGTTGATAGTTTTCCTTTAAATATAGTAGAGAGTTGATTAACTAGCTTTTAAGTAAATAGTATGTCAAAAATAAAATTGATTGGTTAATATGAGCATAACTCAACGATAATTAACATCTATTCATCCCCATAAAATCGGAAATTTAAATCTCATACCTCCTAATTTTTTTTTACAACAAGCGAGAGATTACTAGTAAGCTAAGTTCATGTTCGTCTAAAACTAGATGTTAATACAAAAATTGAAGTGAATTTCATAGAATGTTTTATCTTTGTGCTACATTAAACAATTGACAATGAAAGGCCTAATTTGAGATATTTAGTTAAGTCATATGATCCAAATTGTAACTCACTTCAAATTATTTGAGACTAAATGTTTTTCTTTTGCAAACAAATACTCAAAAGGATATGAGAGAAAATACACTTTTAGTCCACGAAATTTTGAATAGGTATTAATTTGTTCCTTAAAGTATCAAAATTAACATTTTTTATCCTTGAAGTCTGGAGCATGTGTTTATTTGATATCTGAAGTTTAAAAATACACATTTTTAATCTCTAAACTTTGAAAATTTGTGGAAAAATGACGTGACAATTGATATGTGACTGGACATTTCCAACTAGGTATTAAACATTTGAGGTAGAAGGATTTTTCAAACTTCAGGACAAAAAATGTCTGTTTTTAAATTTCATGAACCAAATAGACAACTATTTCAAACTTCATGACTAAAAATGTTCATCTTGAAACCTTACAAACCAAATTGACACCTAGTTCAAAACTCAAGGACCAAATTGTATTTTTCCTAAGAAAATAACTCTAAAAAATGGTTAATCAAATATGTTCATAACTTTAAACGTCATATCCTTTTAGTCTCTAATCTTTAAAAAAATTCAATAACATTCTTAAACTTTATATTAAAACCACATGTTTTAGTTGATACCCTTAACAACATTGATATGATAAGCTAATGGGATAAATTAGTAGACTAATTGTGATTTCTCAACAGTTTTTTTTAGTACAACAAGTAGGAGTGGGAGATCCGAATTTATAATCTCTTAACCAGAGATTGCTAATTATTGTTGAGCTAAACACATCGATGTTTGATTTCTGACATCATGAATCTAGAAAAATAAACAATCTTTCATAATTTAAAAACAATTTACAATATCCTTTTTTTAGTCACCATCATGCTAAACGTGACACATCCAATTATGTTACTTTTCTTTTAAAATTCGCACTTACATTATTTAACACAATAGTAAATATCTTACTATAATTTTGCAAATTATTAAATCACATTACTATAATACACAGGCATGATCACAAATAATATATTTCCAAAGAACAAAAGTGAATTCACAATATACTAGGGGTATATTTGGCATTTAGCTAGTAAAATAATTGTACGGATTTAACTTTAGGTCCGAAATATTAACCAAATTTGAAACATTATTATAAAAATATAATTATTGTACTTTTTTTTTTCTTCTAAACGAATTGTAC